ATACTTTGTGAGTTCATGATTTAACAATCAGCTCTCTTATACTCAGGCCTGAAAAATTGAAATTTAAAGTGCTATGAAATATTCTTACTGGGAACAGTTGTAAAGTGTGCTTCTCCATGATTATAATGGGCTTTGGAGCAGTGGTAGTGTAGCATGTAGTTAGCATAACGGTTTGCTAAACTTTATTAGCCGAGCCGGTAGCAAGCTACTGTCAGGTACAACTTGGGGAAAAAAGAAGCATTTTTCCCTGAAAGCGTCGCTTTATATGAAAGGCTTTTAAATAACAACTAGAACAGTTCATAAGAAAAACAGCGACTCGGTGCTAAGTTAGAAAAGCATGCTAACATTAAGCCGTTCCTAAATAGCAAAGAAGAATGCGACATTTCTTTACACATTTCTTTCCTAAATGCAAAGAAAAATGCAGCAATATAAGTGAATTTCTCCATGGAGAAATTCACTTATATTGGACACTGACTACATGAGATGGTCCTGAGTCTAAAAGGATTGCAGCGAGTCAATCCAGTCCAAACTCATAAAGAATTGTTTTCAGTTTAAAATGATGACATCATCTTGCTTGATGATGGATACTCGAATAAGGCGAGGCAAGTTTATTTATATAGCACAATTCAACAACAAGGGGATTCAAAGTAAGTAAGTTGAGACTCCACTGTCAGCAAAATCTGGTACGGATGCGTGTGACTGGACTGTGATGGACTGACGATGTAGACTAAAAGTTTTGACTGATACTGAGACAAAGACTGCACCAACCTTAGGATTAGTAAATGTCGACAAACAGTTCACCCAGCCTGTAAGAGAAGGGTGGATGATCTGTTTTGTTTTATTTCTGCAGGAGGATAAGAGATCAGAGACTGTAGCTTCACATGAGAGTGTGAACTGCAGACTGAACCTTTGGTTGATAATTTTGAGTTACTGATGTTTGCTTTAAGAAAATTGTGTTTTATTAGCTGTGTTTTCATTAAAGTATCACATTATATTGTTGGGGATGTCAAATGCTACAGTGGAGAAAACCTTTGATTTCACTCATGACTGGAATATGTTATATTAACCATATCAGGTCTCTGTAGAAGTCAATTAAATTTTATAAAGGAAAATGGCCAAAACCTTAACAATATTTATGAATAAAAGGGGAAGGGTAGATTTGTCATGTTCAAAATACAGTTATGGAATCACAAACATCGGTCCACATGACTTAGGTTCCCTCTTAAAATAGTCCATCATTAAAGAGTAGAACAGAGCCGACAGGGGCATGTGCCAGGATGTGGTACTGCACAGAAGAAGAGCCGAGCAATGAAGGTTTAGTTCTGATAAATTCAAATTAAAATGTACCATTACACTTAGAGGATCAATATGAAATC